CCAGGTCGCTTGAGACACCCTCACATTTCCCAATAGAATTGGCCACCTCGCCTGAGACATCCTTACATTTTTGAATTGGCCACATTGCTTGACACATCCTCACATTTCTGATTACAATGTCCAAGATGGCCTGAGGCATCCTCGCATTTCTGAGGAGGAGGAGAACAATAATGTTGCTATGTGCTTCAATTAAGATGTTTCGCAGTCATACACTGCCCAGGGAGCATCAGAAGAGTCCAAGACGGCCTATGAGCCCAGAAGAATTCAATACGGCATAGGAGAGTTCTTCGAGGCACCCGACAGAGAGCTCCAGCAACCTTCAACAAGGGCACAACGCCCTTTTTCTGGGTCCTCCAAATGCCCCCATCAAGAGCTGCACGCTGGCACGCAGGCTCAGGCCCAGGCTTCAGGCTTTGACCTTCAGCCGCCGAGCGCACGAACTTTCGTCTCCACCTCAGCTGTTCACGCAGGCTCAGTTCCGCAATGTCTCGTCAGAGCACCGATGAGGAGGTTGGTTTGTACGAGAGGTGGTATCGGAACCCTCAAGGCGACGACGCTTTGACTCGACGGGAGGTCAGAAGGCTCAGAGCGGAGGCTGAGACGGAGGCCGCTGTTTGGAAGGCCGCTGCTGCGGCGGAGGCTCAGGAGAAGACCGCGTCAGTCAAGAAGCGCCCTGCAGGGAAAAGCGCGATCAGGGAAAGGCCTGCCGCAGAGGTCAGGGGCGAGGCTTTGTCAGTGAAGAAACGCCCAGCGCAGGGAGCAGGAAACAGCAGCGCTCAGCAGAGTGAGGATTCCCACAACGGCAACTACGATGAGCCGCCCAAGGATCAGCCGCAGAGTCAGCTTCGCAAGCCCAGTGAGTTGCTGAACCGCCTCGGACCTGCAGGCGCCGCGCCTTTCAGGGGCCTTCTCTGACTCCTGTCAGCGTAGCTTTTCTCGGATGTGCTCTCACTGGACGCTGTATTCAGACCGCAGTCCAATCAGCCCACTGCCCATGACTCGATTTCAGTACTCAGCAGGGAGGAAAGGAGGAGGGAGGAACAGAAGAGGGAACAAGTCAGGAGGGGAGTCGAGCTCAGCCTGTCAGGCCGCTTCAGGCCCGAGAGACTGTATCAGCGCGTTTTGGCACCTTCAGCAATTGTATACGTTTTGGCCGCTTCAGGAATTGTATACGGTTTCAGAAGTCTCTCAACACTAGTCAGAGCTGCTCTGCCCTCGCAGCGCTAGTCAGAGCCGCAACGAACCATCAACATCACCATCAACGTCATCGTCATCACCATCAACGTCATCATCACTTCCTCACAATTCACTCACAGACAAGGCTCCCGCTTGTCTCAGTTTCACTTGTGTCAGACACCCTCACATTTCCTAATAGAGAGTTGGCCAAGCTCCCTCAGACATCCTCGCATTTTTATTTAGAATTGGCCACATCGCCTGAGACATTGTCGCGTTTCTTAATGGAATTGGCCAAATCGCCTGAGACATCCTCGCATTTCATGATAAAACTTGCCCAATCGCTTGAGACATCCTCATAGTTTGTAGTAGAGTTGGCGAAATCGCCTGAGACATTCTCACATTTCTTTATAGAATTGGCCAAATCGCCTGAGACATCCTCGCATTTGTTTGTAAAAAGTTGCTCAATCGCCCGAGACATCCGCATAGTTTGTAGTAGGGTTGGCCAAATCGCCTGAGACAGTGTGACATTTCTTTATAGAATTTGCCAAATCGCTTGAGACATCATCACATTTCTGAATAAAATTGGACAACAGATTGTTGCCGGGTGCTCCTCCCTCCTCACTCCCTGCTGCTGCTGCTGCTGCATCTGCTGCTGCTGCTGTTGCCCCTCCTCCTTCTCCTCCTCCTCGCCCTTCTCTTCCTCCTTCTCCTCGTCATCCTCGTCCTTCACATCATCATTTTTTTTTGCCGGGTGCTAAAGATATCGTTCGGCGAAAATGGCTCCTCGGAATATTGAATAAAATTGCGATGCTAAGATATCCCGGGGGGGTTCTTAATTGCTTCTTCGGGTTATCCAGGCTCCCCGGCGCATCCGTGGAAACTCTGAGGCTTCCAAATATACCTTCCGTGGCCTCGAAAACGTTGCAAGACGGTCCCGAATCGCCGACCGATTGGCCCAAGACGCCTACGATGGCTCCAAGACGCCCAAGGCGCCTTCGAGACACCCCAATAGAGGCACAAGAGTCTTCCCAAGAGGGCCCCGAGAGGCAAAAATCAATGGTTTGCCTTGGGTGTCTCATTGTTTCTGGGGGTATCGTCGTCTCAAGCTTCCAAAACCGGCCCAAGAGGCCCCGTAGACACAAAACTGCCCAAGAGGCCCCAACGAGGGCCCCAGGGCAGCCCAAGAGTGTTCCAAGACAGCCCAAAGAGGGGCCCAAGACGACCAGAGATCGCCCCAGGAGGCCAAGAGGGAGAACACGAACCGAAAATTCGACCCCTCATACCCAAAGAGGCCCCACAAAGGCCCCAAGAAGCCCCCAACCAGACCAACAGAGTCCCACAAGAAACCCCAAGAGGCCCCCAAGTGGCCCAAAAGAGATCCCGAAACGGCCCCCAAGACGCTTCAAAACTGCCTCCAAGTGGCTCCACCAGGCCCCCAAACAACTCCCGAAACGCCCACAAGGGTCCCCAAATAATGCCCAGAAGCCCGCGATGCCTCGACTGTGGACTCCCCGCCTCGTCTGAGGGTCGGCGGAATAGCGTAAGCCTCTTGAATAAAGGGCATGTGCTTCTCAAAGTGGGGCTACCCTCGGCGTCCGTCAAGTGGAGCGAGAATCCTTCAAGTGAAGGGAGGACTCTTCAATGACGAGCGGCTGGTCGGTCCTCGTCTGACTGGCGGACCGACGGGCCGCTCGTCATTCGAGGGGGGGGCCGCAGCGGAAAGGACGACTTGTGTGGACTTGTGAAGGGGACTTGGGACGGGAGGGTGTATTGCAGGATCGGTTGGTGTATCTTGGGTGTCTTCTAGTCCTCGTCCTCCTCCTCCTCCGCCTCCTCTTCCTCCTCCTCCTCCTGCCTTCCTCGTCCATCACTACGCATCCTTGTTCGTCTAGTACACATATTCCACGTCGTCATCGTCGTCCTACTCTTGCTCCTCGCATTACTTCTCCGCCTCCTCCCTGCTCCCACAATGATTCATCATCTCTCACCCATGCCTCCATCCCTCCCTCCGTGCATCCCTCCCCCCGACCGCGGTGCAGTGCAGGCGCCGTTTGGCGTTTGCGCGGACCTCTTCCAGCGCTAAGACGCTGCTGAAGCCAGGGGCGAAGTGCGACCACAATAACCCATGCTCAGGCTGTCAAGCAATTGGTGCGGCGCTCTCGTGTGGAGGGGGACGGGCGAAGGCCGGCTGCTGCTGCTGCTGCTGAGAGGGTGGTGGAGATGAGCAGGTGTCTTTCCATGTGCGATGGCCACAAAGTTCACTGCGTGGGTCTACATGTTTGCGTCCTGTGCGGGGCTCGGGTGGAGGTCGGGCCCCCGAAATTCCACGGTCTCCAGGCCGTGTGTCCACTGACCAGCCCCGAATCCAGCGCGTCGGCGAGACAGAGATTCCTTCGCGGACGGCAGGCACCCCTCGACAGGCGCCATCCTTGGAGACCAAATCTCTCCAGGCGGCTCCGCGGCTGCGGATGTGATTGGCGTGGTGTTAGCAAGTATGGTGACGGGTACAGCAGTGTTTTCAAAACTCGGTCGCATCACTGCGCCTCCCAGCGCTGCACCGTCTGCACCGTCACTATTTGTTTGACCAGTGGTTTGCACATCCTCGGTCGGGGTGCACCTACGTTTCTTACCCAGAAGTGTGTGCGACTCGCTGCTTGCACGTTCTGTGTTGCGTCTTGCGTCCCTCCCTCTCTGCCTCCCGCCTTCCCATCTCCCACCTCACTCCATCAACCACATTGGCTTGGCGAAGGCCCCAACCATATGCAGTTGTGAATACCGCAAGGCAGGATGGTCGAAGGGAAGGAGGACAGGTGGGCCGAAGGAGCCAGGTGGGCCATGGGTCCGCGAACGATATCAGCGATCGAAATGGGCGTGGCCAGGTAGAATAGGTTTGCCATGCGAGCCTTTTGTAAAACGAGGACCCGTCACACAGGATGATCGGGAAAGACTAATCTCCTGACAAGCTAGCGAGAGAGGGACAGAAATGACTACCACACATTGTTCAAGCTAAGTTCACCTGAAGGACAGATCCTCTCCAAATCGCTGGAAATTCCCTCGAACGTAACGCCCTGCCTCATCGCGTTTCTGGTAGCAGAAGGGAGGGGGGGGATCCTTTACAAACGTGGCCTCATGTGACTGGCAAGACCACCACGCACTCGTCAGTCAAGGGAGGTGCTCCCCGCAGTGGAAAAGAATATGTGCGGGGGCTTCTGAAGAGGGGCCTGGATTGCAGCATCGTTGGTGCATCCTTGATTTACCCTGGTCCTCCGACTGGTGTTCCGGCACAAGTCAGGATCGTCAAAACGCAACAGTAAATTGATTCGTGGCGTTGGAATCCCGAGAAGTGTGTTTTGGCACGCTTCAGGATCTTCGAACGGCTGTCTCCCAACGGAGGCCCGTCCCGCAGTGGAAATGAATGCTTGTAGGGGCCTTTGAAGAGGGAGCTTGGAGGGAGGGTTTATTTCAACGTCGTTGATGAATCTTGGGTGACGTACACTGGTCCAACTCCTCCTCCTCAAACCCTTCCTCCTCCGAGGGGGCAGGAGAGGGAGGCGTGGGGGGGGGAGGACAAGGAAGAGGAGGACGAGAAAGAACGAGGAAGGGGAAAGAGGGAGGCAGAGGGGGGAGGCAAGAAGAGGAAGGGGGCAGAAGGGGACCAGAGGGGCTAAGGGGGTGGGGGAGGAGAGGGGCCAGGGGCAATGGAGGGAAGGAGAAAAGGGGCGTAGGAGGGCAGTGGGAGAACTCCGCGCGAGGATGCCGCTCCGTGCCCTCCCGAGGTTCAAGACGTGGTCCCTCTGCGTCCCATCGCCCGCCTCACCCCCCGCCTCCAGGTCGTCCACGAACGGTTGGCCGAAGTTGAAAAACCTGCGGGAGTAGGCTGGAGGAGAGACGAAGACGAAGGAGAGAGGGGGGACAAAAGGGGGAGCTGGACGAGGAGGAGGGGGAGGCGCCCCCCCCTCTGCCCCTTCCCCTTCCCCGATTCACCAACACCACCCCGTCCTGCCCCCCTGCCCATCCCGCCATTCTGCCTCCCCCCTCCTCCCCCTCTCCCCGTCCCCTCCTCCGTCCATCTCCCCCGCCCCCCCCCAATCCCACCCCCTGCTTCCATCCTCGGACCCCCCCCTCCCACTCCTTAACCCCGCGAAGCGCACGGGCTACGGGGCCCGCTCCCCCGCCGCGCCGCCAGAGTCTCAACAAGCTGCGGTAGACATGGTCTGCATTCAGGACCCGCTCCCGCCAGAGGCCCCCCAAGTGTCCAAGCAAAGGGCACCAAATCTCCACTGCATCCCCGTGCAATGTGAGGGCGTTGTTTCCTCCAGTGCCGCGGTGACGCTACATCTGCCGAGCTAGCGAGGTTGGCTTCCAGGAGGTAACCCGCTACGTATTTTGCGCTGACCTGTCCCTTGCATGCGCGGGGGCGCTGCCCGACGAGACCGCGACACCTCCTTGCACAGGGCGATTTCCAGCTGAGTTTGCAGGCCTGATGTACTCATGACTCAGAGTCGGCCCCCGAAAGGTGATCCATCCAGCAGTGGCCTCTAGCTTCGGAAATTCGCCAAGCGCCAACATGGAGACCCCCGCCTTGACGCCCAGCGCCCCCCCTAAAGCCGCTCGGATAGGTCGACAAAATGCACCGCCATTCCAGGCGAGCGCTGTGATGAGACCCCCCTCACGCAGACAGCATCATTGTCGTGGCGGGGGGGGGCTGTTCTGTTTCCCTCGAATGTGTCCCCCCCCCTCGAGGGCTCCGTGGCTTTCATTTGTTCCCAACCATCCTGGTGTTGGGTCCTCGCTTTGAAGAGACAGCGCTCCGCGTCCCACCTCCTTCCTCCTTCCTCCTCCTCTCCTCCTCCTCCCTCCTCCCCCATCCTTTGCTCTCCGCATGTCTCAGCTCACCCCTCCTCCCATCATCATCATCATCATCATCATCATCATCATCATCATCATCATCATCATCATCATCATCATCATCATCATCATCATCATCATCATCATCATGATAAGCATCATCATCATCATCATCATCAGCAGCAGCAGCATCATCATCATCATCAGCATCATCATTATCAGCATCATCACCATCATCGTCAGTCTCGTCAGCATCATCATCATCATCAGCATCATCATCAGCATCATCATCATCATCAGCATCATCATCAACATCATCATCATCATCAGCAGCAGCAGCATCATCATCATCATCACCATAATCGTCATCATCGGCATCATCGGCATCGCCATGGCTGATTCGTTTCGTGGCCCCATAGGAAGCTCCACCGAAGGCCCCAGTGGGGGGGGGGCGCATGCGTCCCCCACCCTCAGGGCAGCGTTTCGTGGCCCCGTAGGGAGCTCCACCGAAGGCCCCAGTGAGGGGTGCCGCATGCGGCTCCCACGCCCAGCACAGCGTTTTGTGGCCCCATAGGGAGCTCCACCGAAGGCCCCAGTGGGGGGGGCGCATGCGTCCCCCACGCCCAGCACAGCGCTGCGTGGCCCCATACGGAGCTCCACCGAAGGCCCCAGTGGGGGTGCCCGCATGCGTCCCCCACGCCCAGGACAGCGTTTCGTGGCCCCATAGGGAGCTCCACCGAAGGTTCCAGGTCTACCGTCCGCATGCGTCCCTCCCACACAGTACAGCATTTCGTGGCCCTCCTCCCCCTCCTCCCTGCGTTTCACCCACCCCGTACACCGCTTCGTGGCCCCATAGGGAGCTCCACCGAAGGTTCCAGGTCTACCGTCCGCATGCGTCCCCCCACCCAGTACAGCGTTTCGTGGCCCTCCTCCCCCTCCTCCCTGCGTTTCACCCACCCAGTACAGCGCTTCGTGGCCCCATAAGGGGGCTCCACCGAAGATTCCAGGTCTACCGTCCGCATGCGTCCCCCCACCCAGTACAGCGTTTCGTGGCCCTCCTCCCCCTCTTCCCTGCGTTTCACCCACCCAGTACAGCGCTTCGTGGCCCCATAGAGGCTCCACCGAAGGTTCCAGGTCTACCGTCCGCATGCGTCCCCCCCACCCAGTACAGCGTTTCGTGGCCCTCCTCCCCCTTGCTCCTTGCGTTTCACCCACCCAGTACCGCGCATCGTGGCCCCATAGGGAGCTCCACCGAAGGTTCCAGGTCTACCGTCCGCATGCCCCCCCCCCCCACCCAGTACAGCGTTTCGTGGCCCTCCCCCCCTCCCTGCGCTTCACCCACCCAGTACAACGCTTCGTGTCCCCATAGGGAGCTCCACCGAAGGTTCCAGGTCTACCGTCCGCATGCGTCCCCTCCACCCAGTACAGCGTTTCGTGGCCCTCCTCCCCCTCCTCCCTGCGTTTCACCCACCCAATACAACGTTTCAGGGAGCTCCACCGAGTCCCACTGGCACCGCCCGCATGCGCCGGCCACCGCCCAACACAGCCTCTTCTCCTTGCGTTTCACCCACCCCGTACAGCGCTTCGTGGCACCAAAGGAAGCTCCACCGAAGATCCCAGTGGCACCGCCCGCATGCGTCAGCCACCACCCAGCACAGCCCTTGCTCCCTGCGTTTCGCTCACCCAGTACAGCGCCCCATATGTTCATAATTGCGGTACTCACAACTGCATATGGTTGGGTCCTTCGCCAGGCTAATTTCCGTCGGAGGATGTGTGGTTTCCCTGTCGAGGCTCGTGTTTTCGGCGGGGGGAGGCCAGATGCCTCGAGGCTCGGGAGGGGGGGGCGGGAAGGGCGAAGCGGTGAGCCCCGGCAGGCACTCCAGCTCGGTCCAGGCCCACGGGGGCTCCAAGTTGCCGGCCCAAGGACCAGAGGCGTGCGAAGATCTCCAGTAACAGGCTTCGAATGTTTTTCAAGTTCGCGCGCGCGGCAGCCCCTGGATAAGCCCCAAACACGTCAAATGAAATGGATTCGCGTCCGGCACATTTCGTGTTGCCAGCGTTGATGTGAGGAAGCCCATTCCGAGCGTGCCGGCTCGCGACAAGTTGACGATCACCGTACAAGCCAACGAACATCACCGAACATCACATGAAAACCTAAGATCAACATACATCGAACGTCGACGTGATACGAAAAAACATGATCGACCTACGAGCCCGGAAAGGGATTTACACTTGCGAGGCATGGGAACGTTTCCAAGCACTTCAATTGGGCGATGGGCAATGGCAGTGCTGAAATATCAATGAAGATGATGATAGCGATGACGATGACGATGACGATGACGATGACGATGACGATGACGATGATGATGATGATGATGATGATGATGATGATGATGATGATGATGATGATGATGATGATGATGATATTCTGCCAAGGGCTGTGTTGTGTTGCTCTACGCTGTGCCGCGCCGCATAGTGACGTGCCAGGGACGCGCCACGGAACGTGCCAATGGAAGAGCCAGGGGACGCGCCAGGGAACATGCCGCGTGGGACTGTGCCGTGCGCTGTTGCATTGTTGGTCAAGCCGTCCTTGGCGTCAGAATCATGACCGAACTGATTTCGGTCTTAAGCTCGAGCTGTCTGAACGCGTAGCTCGGGCTAGTTGTAATCGAAGCGCGCGGGGCGCTCGGCCAGCTCGAGCTCAAGATCCGATTCAGTTCTGCAGCCCTGCCTCGAGACACCCAGACATAGAGCCAGATTATCACACGTTGGATATCTCCTTGTGTAGCCTGGACGCGTGAAGACGTGGTTCCAGCTCGGGACATCCATGGTAGATACCCCCTGGGCGGCCTGGGCACGTGAAAACACATGGTTCCAGCTCGGGGCAACCATGGTAGATACCGCGCTAGGTGGCTCGGGACCACCATGTTAGATATCCACCTGGGTGGCATGGACACGTGACAAAAACACGTGGCTCCAGCTCGGGACCACCATGTTCGATACCCCAGTTGGAAATCTGGAAAATCACCAGCCGCTCAAATGGTGCCAGGATATTACACATCTGGTGTAGATGGGTTGATTCTGCCTGGCTCTTGAGCCCCCCCCCACGCTGGGGGCACCCAGACGGCCAGATGTTAGTTACCCCCCGTGAGTGGCCCGCATGCGTGACAACGTGTTCTGGGTGGGCGCGTCCCTTTCGCCCAGAGCGCAGCAAGCGTGAAAACACATGGGCTCCTTTCGCCCCAGAGCGGAGCGATCTCGCCCCAGAGCGGAACAAGAGTGAAAACACGTGGGTCCTTTTCGCCCCAGAGCGCAGCAAGCGTGAAAACACGTGGGTGCCTGTCGCCCCAGAGCGCAGCAAGCGTGAACACACGTGGGTGCCTGTCGCCCCAGAGCGCAGCAAACGTCCAGTAAGCCCCATGAGGCCTCCCCAGAGCCCCAAGACGGAACGTGCCAAGTGATAGTGCCGAGTCGTTGAGTTTGCCCCGCTGCTGTGCCCTCCCTCACATTTGGGAGGGGGGGGACCGGCCCTGGGTGGCCAGGACGCGCGAAAACACGAGGGTCCCTGTCGACCCAGAGCGGCATAAATGTGACATCACGTGGGTACCTTTCGCTCCAGAGCGCAGCAAACATGAAACCATATGGGCTCCTTTCCCCGCAGAGCGGAGCAAGCACGCCCCAGAAGGGAACAAGCGTGAAAACATATGGGACCCTTTTGTCCCAGAGCGCAGCAAGCGTGAAAACACGTGGGTCTGTTTCGCCCGAGAGCGCAGCAAGCGTGAAAACATGCGGGCCCCTTTCGTCCCAAAGCGGAGCAAGCGTCGGGGAGTGGTTTCACGCTTGCTGCGCCCTGAGGCGAAAGAAAGGGACCTGCAGCAACTGGGACCCACATGATGTCATTCTTGCCGCGCCCTGAGGCGAAAGAGACCCATGTGTTTTCACGCTTGTTCTGCCCGGAAGGGAGAAGGACTGGGGCGAAAGGGAGGGCCTCTCGACTTCTCCTAAACGAGCGTTTCGCTCGAGGCATCCTCAAACAGTCTGCGCGCAAAACGCGCCATCCTCGAGCGGGAACGCAAAAAGTCAACATGGCCATATTCTCTGGAAAAGAAAAATCTCCAGACCACGTTATTAATCGCGGATTGCGGAAAACGCTCCGAGCACTCTCTTGCACAAGGGAACACGAGGGTCAACGGATCTCGTTATTTACAGCGGATCCGACATGTGGCGCGCACATTTCTCGAGCGGGCACGCGCGAAACGCATGGTTTAAAAACAAAGTGGGGCTGCACCTCGCTATCGTAAATGATTGCGCTGGCCAACCCCCACCATGGCACCAAGGGAAGATTACCATTCCAAAAGGGGAACCCTGGGCCCGAGCCCTTTCCGAGGAAAACGGAGAAACTCGGCAGTCAGCGAAAATCAACGCAGAGTAAACAGGCATCGAAGGTCACCGAAAATCATCAAAATCAAACCAAGGTTAGACACCAACGATAACCTGCAAACAAAGCCAAGAAACATTCAACATTGAAGAAAACCGGCGGACGCAACACGCAAACATCTAGCGTCGACAATAAAATGTCAAAACAAACCTGAACGGCCCACAAAACTGGACAGGAATATAGAAATGTAAGGCAGGGCAACGTTTCAAAGACACCAGAGTGGGCGACGGGCAAATGCAATGCTGAGTGTATCGATCTTGATGTACCGTGCCGAAAACTGTGCTGTGCTGCGCCGTGCTGAACTGCGATGTGCAATGCCGCGATTGTGCTCTATAGCGTTGTGGATCGAGTCCTCCTTTGCATCCGAGTCCTGACCGAACTGATCTGGAGCTTAAGCTCGAGTTGCCTGAGCACACAGCAGCTGCCCCAGAGCTAATTGACAAGGGGACATGCCAGGAGGACGCGCCGCGGAACGTCCGAAGGGACGCGCCAGGCGACGTGCTAGGGTACGTGCCATGGGGACGCACCGCGGGACGTGCCAAGGGGACGCGCTACGGAACGTGCTGAGAACCAGCGTTTCACTCGCGACATCCTGCCCAATTCCTTATGCTAGACATCCGCCTGGGCGACCTGGACACCTGAAAACAAGCGCTTCGCTCAACACATCCTCAACACACCGTCATGCTAGACATCCGCCTGGGCGAACTGGACACGTGAAAACAAGTGGTTCGCTCGAGAAATCCTCAACACATCTTCATGTTAGACGTCCGCCTGTGTGACCTGGGCACGTGAAAACAAGCGCTTCGCTCGAGACGTTCTCAACACATCCTTATGTTAGACATCTGCCTGAGCGACCTGGACACGCGCAAACAAGCGTCTCGCTCGAGGCGTTCTCAACACCTCCTCATGCTAGACATCCACCTGGGCGACATGGACACGTGAAACCAGGCGTCTCGCTCGACACATCCTCAACACATCATCATACTATCCGCCCTGGGGCGTGCGGAACCCACGTGTTTTCACGTTTGTCCCGCCCTGGGACGTTAGGAACCCAAATGTTGTCACGTTTCTCCCGCCATGGGGCGATATGAACCCATGTGGTTTCACGCTTGTCCCACCCTGGGGAGTTGGGGACCGATGTGCTGTCGCGCTTCTCGGGCCTCCTGGGGCCTCCTGGGGGACGGGGGGGAGCGAACAGCGCTCCCCGACCACATATCCCGATCCATAAAGATTGCTCATGGTGCCTCCTGGGTGTTCCTGGGGACGGGGGGGGGGGGGGGGCGAAACGCGCCCCCCCGAACACAGATCCCAACACAGAACAACGCCTCCTGGAGACTCCTGATGCCTCATGGAACCTCATGGGGCCTCCTGGGGCCTTCTGGAGCGATAAAAAACATGTGCTTTCAAACTTGTCCCGCCCTTGGGCGTCAGGAACTCACATGGTTTCACGCTTCTCCCGCCGTGGGGCGTTGGGAACCCACATGTTTTCACGTGGTTCCCGCCCTGGGGCGTTAGGAGCCCACATATGTTCGCATTTCTCTCGCCCTGGGGCGTTCGGAACCCATGTGTTTTCACGTTTGTATCGCCCTGCTCCAAGGTGGCCCCAGGAGAGCCCAAGAGACCCCCAAGAGGCTCCCAAGACGACCCCAAAAGGGCCTCAAGACGGCCCAAGAGGCCTTTAAGAGGCCCAAGGTGGCCCTCAAGACGTCCCTGAAGAGCCCTAAGAGGACCCCAAGGCGGCCCAGAGAGGCTCCCAAGGCGGCGTCCAACGGCGTGAGACGGGACAGGAACGCCGTAAGGCGGCCAAAGAGGCCCCAAGAAGCCCCAAATGCCCCCAAGAGGCCCAAGGAGGCCCCCAAGAGGGTTCCAAGAGGCCCCAAGGAGGAGGCTCCCAGGAGGACCCAATACTAAGCCAATAAGCTCCCAAGAGGCCTCCTCATCCTTCTCCTCATCCTCGCCTATTCCTCCCTCTCCTCACCCTCCCCTTCCTCCCACGCGTGTTCCCCGAGAGGCTTCCACAACGGCTGCGAGAACGCATGGTCCAATAGCGTGGCCAAACATTGCTCAAACGTTTGGCCGCGTAGGCGTATCCTAAAAGGCAGAGGGCGGCGGTGATTCGCCATAGACGTCTTCGACAAGCCCCTATACATCAGGGCCGCCCGCCGACCGCCCGCCGCCCGCCGCTCGCCTCGCCACCTTCTCAACACACACACACACACCATCTACTCAACAGTATCCGTCTCCAGCACCAAGCCCGACACGCAGCAGCCTGCGTGTCCAACACCCCGCCCATCTACTCAACAGCATCCCGCTGCACGAGAGAAAACCCTTACGATCCCTGTTGAACTACCGATCTGCCCACCGCCCGCCGCTTCCCCCCGCCCTCGCCTTCGCTGCCCCCCCTCCGCCGAGTGGAGGGGAAGCCCCGAGGGGAAAAAAAAACAAATACTTCGAAGTAAAAACACAGAAAGGATCGAGGCAGCCTCGAGACCCCCACCCGCACGCCCGACCCCCCCCCTTCGCGAGGGAGGGGGAAAACAAAAAACAAAACCCGCCGACTTCCCGAGGGGGGGGGGAAGCTTCGAGTGGGAAGGGGAAAAGCCAAGCCCTGGCGAGAGCCCCACTAGTTGACATTGGTCGGTGACCCAAGCGAGCGCCAGGTCCTCAGAAGCCCTCCCAGGGAACATGGCGAGGTTCCCCTTGCCAGACGTATACTCGACCCTTGCGTAGCCCTTGCTCGACAGCTCGTCCACCACTATCTTCCAGCCCCCCTTGTCGACGTCGGCCTGGCCTGCCTGTGGGGCGGAGGGGGAGGAGGGGGGGGTCAAGCCTGGCGCGGTCAGGGTGCGAGACAAAAGAGTGGAAACTGAAAGGAAGATGGGCATGGGACGCAGTTGCTTGTGCTGATAACTACTCCCCAGCTATATCGGATGGTGCAAGTGCTTACTTCGTGGTGCCTACCGCGTGGTGCTACTCGACGTCCTCCTCCTCCTCCTCCTCCTCCTCCTCCTCCTCCTCCTCCTCCTCCTCCTCCTCCTCATTCTCTCCCTCCTCCTGCGCCTGCGCATCCCCTTTGCCTATCCTCCCACTTCTCCATCCCCTCCCTTCAATCCGACCCTCCCCGCTCAATCCTTCCTCCCCCCCGAATCCCACACTCGATCCTTCCTCTCTCTCTTGGAAGCGACTGGGGCGCCTGCGCTAGATGGACATCATCAAAACCAGTCAAGAAGGGAAAGGGGGCAAATGCGGAATCCGATGCCCTTCTTGAGAAGGCGGCCCAGGGGGGACAGGAAACGAAGCTTCTGTGAAATCGTGCACCTGCCCCCGTCTAACTGCTGAAACCGATGATGCCCCACCTCAGCCCACCAGCCGGCTCCCACCCCCCCTCCCCTCCCCTCCCTCGGGGACCCACCCACGAGCCTGCGGGTACGCCTTCAGCACCTCCGTGAGCGACGACACGGCGTCGGCCTTGCTCTGCCCCGCCGGCCACTTCCACGGGGCCACCTCCGCGGCCGCCGCGGCCGCGCGCCGAGGGCCGGCCCAGGGGTCCCGGGAACAGCTGAGCAATCCCCTCCCCAGGAGACAGCCGCTCAAAAAAACGACAAACAGGCAAAAGCACAAAGACTGCAAAACACACAAAACCTAACGAGACACCCAGAAACTGCCGATCGCTGGTCGGCCCGACCAGCTCTCTGCTGCCCAGGAAGGGCCCCCCCCCGGCGATAACCCTCAGGGGGGGGTCCGCCCGACCACGGGGTCGCCTTGTTGCCGCCCTTGTTGAGCGTGGAGAAGCAGTTGTTGGCGCCGTCCTCGCTCTCGTGGGTGGGCCACGGGGGGTGAGGGGGGAGGAGGAGGGGGGAGCAGAGCGGGAGAGAAGAGGGCGAGCAGAGGGGAGCGCTGAGCAGAGGGGCGGAAGGGGGGGGGAAAGCGGGAGAAAGAGAGAGGGCAGAGGGACTTCCTCCCCCATTCTCCACATCCTGCTCTTGCCCCTCCTGAGGCGAAGCGTGAATAATTGGTCCCCTCCTCTATCTCTCTCTCCCCTTCACCATCCGTCCCCCAACCTCCCCCACTCTCGTTCCCAATCCGAGAACACTCCCCAAAGGCTCGGCTGGCGCAGACTCCTGAGGGCCAGGGCGGCCGGGGCCTCTCTGGGTGCCCCCCTGCGCGCGCCCCCCGCGGTCCCGGCAAGCGTCGAAAGCTCTCACGTCGCCAGCCCCCACGCCGAGCAGTGCGGCCGAGGCAGCGGCGCCGAGAGCCGCGCGTCGTGCCTGCAGAAGAAAGCTATCGTCTCCTCCTCCTCCTCATCCTCCTCTTATAATCATTATTCGTTTTCGCATTAGCCATGGTAGTGTTATCGATGATTTCATTAGGATTATCATTATAGTCCTTACTGCTATTAAACAGTATTATGATGCATCTGATTGGTCTGATTGTTAGTCTTAGTTTTAGTAATCGTGGAAGTATGATTATGTATGTTCGTATTATCACTACTAGGCGTCGTCTTAACAGTCTGAGTAGTATGCTGCATGTTATTCATGCATTTTCTACGTAATCAAATTATTAGTGGTACAACAATTAGTATTAGCATTCTTGGTATTACTAACATTGTTGCTACTACTAAAATATAAATAGTATTCCTGCTCCTCCTCATCCTCCTCATCCTCCTCCTCGTCATCACGCTACTCATCCTCATCCTTATCCTCCTCCTCCTCCTCATCCTCCTCTTCATCCTCCTCCTCTTCGTCTTCGTCATCATCATCCTCATCCTCATCCTCCTCCTCATCCTCCTCGTCCTCCTCCTCCTCCTCCTCCTTCTCGTCATCATCATCATCAGCATCATCAGCATCATCATCACCATCATCATCAGCAGCATTATCAGCATTATCATCATCATCATCATCATCATCATCCTCATCATCATCATCATCATCATCATCATCATTAGCATCAGCATGATAATCATCATCATAATCAGCATCAGCATCAGCATCAGCGTCAGCATCAGCATCATCATCATCATCATCATCATCACCCTCGTAATCCCCCCTCCCTGTCCTCCTCACCCTCACCATCCCCCCCTCCTCCTCCCACTTCTCCTCCCGCTCCTCCTTCCCCTCCAACCCCTCTGCCGTGGAATCTCGAGCATGCCGGTCCATCGTCATTCCTTTTTCCTCCAAAGGAAACGACGGGTAGCAGAGATCAGCTCGGGGCGAGATCTAAAACAGGGCCGCTGGTGAGGCCAACTGGGCTACGACCATCATCGTCATCATCATCATCATCATCATCATCAGCATCATCATCATCGTCGTCATCGTCGTCATCATCATCATCATCAGTCGCATCAGCATCAGCATCAGCATGGGCATCATGATCATGATCATGAACATCATCATCATTATCGTCATCACCATCACCATCACCATCACAATAATCATCATCATCGTCATCATCATCGTCGTCATCATCACCATCACAATCATCATCATTATCAGCATCATCACCACCGCCACTTCCACCACCACCTCCACCACCGCCATCATCATCATCAGCATCATCATCATCATCACCAGCATCATCATCAATCGTCATCATCACCATCATCAGCAGAACCATCATTATCATCAGCATCATCGTCCTCATCCTCGTCATCAGCATCATAATCATCAACCACATCATCATCATCATCACAATCACCAGCATCACCATCATTATCATCCACATCATCATCCCTATCACCATCATGAAAAGTATAATTATTGTTGTTATCATCAGCATCATCATCACAATCGTTACCACTACCACCATCATCATGATCACACTCATCATCAGCATCATCGTCGTCATCATCAGCATCATCATCACTATCATCATGATCATCATGATCATCAGCATCATCAACATCATCATCATCAGCAGCAGCATCACCAGAATCATCATCGTCGTCACCAACGTCACCGTCGTCATCATCAGCAGCAGTATCATCATCACCACGACCACCATCATCATCATCAGTACGAGCAGCAGCACAATTATCATCATCAACACGACCATCATCATCACCAGCCGCATTAACATCTTCATCATCATCACCACCACCATCATCATCAGCATCCTCACCATCACCATGATCATCATTATCACGACCCTCTTCATCCTCCAAATCAGCAACAGCACCATCATCATCATCATCATCATCACCATCATCAGCAGCAGCATCACCAGCATCATCATCAGCATCATCATCATCATCATCATCAGCATCCGCATCCGCATTATCATCATATTCTTCATAATGAACATCATCAGCATCATCATCAACATCATCGTAATCCGCCGGCCCCCTTGTGGGGCCACCAGGCTGTAGGCGCGGGATTCGCAGTTTCCTGTACCAGTTGTAGCTTGTAGTTTCCAGTGTTACAGTTCTGCTTATTGCTGGTTACTGTAACTAGTTGATTGACCGCGCGAGGGGGGGGAGGCCCAAACCGGCATTTTTAGCACCCCCTGGGCGCGTTGTCTGAATTGCTGGGGGGGCTCGAAATCGACACCCCTCACGCAGATCCGCGGGGTCAGGGTCCAAAAACACAAGGGATTTGCCACATTTCTGAAATCGGTGCCACCCCTCACGCAGATCCGCGGGGTCAGGGTCCAAAAACACAAGGGATTTGCCACATTTCTGAAATTCGGTGCCACCCCTCACGCAGATCCGCGGGGTCAGGGTCCAAAAACACAAGGGATTTGCCACATTTCTGAAATTCGGTGCCACCCCTCACGCAGATCCGCGGGGTCAGGGTCCAAAAACACATGGGATTTGCCACATTTCTGAAATTCGGTGCCACCCCTCACGCAGATCCGCGGGGTCAGGGTCCAAAAACACATGGGATTTGCCACATTTCTGAAATTCGGTGCCACCCCTCACGCAGATCCGCGGGGTCAGGGTCCAAAAACACAGGGGATTTGCCACATTTCTGAAATTCGGTGCCACCCCTCACGCAGATCCGCGGGGTCAGGGTCCAAAAACACAAGGGATTTGCCACATTTCTGAAATTCGGTGCCACCCCTCACGCAGATCCGCGGGGTCAGGGTCCAAAAACACAAAGGATTTGCCACATTTCTGAAAGTCGGTGCCACCCCTCACGCAGATCCGCGGGGTCAGGGTCCAAAAACACATAGGATTTGCCACATTTCTGAAATTCGGTGCCACCCCTCATGCAGATCCGCGGGGTCAGGGTCCAAAACACAAGGGATTTGCTACATTTCTGAAATTCGGTGCCACCCTTCACGCACATCCATCGCAAGGCGTGATAACCCAAACTGCGAGAACTCCCTCGGCCCTTTAATCGCAAGGTGTGGTAACCAAGCCCGTAAACCATACACGTCTTACCAATCGCCAGGTGTGGTAACCCCTCTTGTGATCAGTTGGTTTTGCTGATTGCGAATCGGCTTCGCATGAAGTTTCGATACTGCTTCACGACAGCGCCAAGGCCTCATGACTTAGCTCTTCCATGGCCCATTCTCCGAGAGAGGGGGCCGGCGGCAGGGGGCGAAGCCCTTACGGATAATCCGAATCCTAAACATCAGCAGCAACAACATCATCTTCACCATCATCACACGCCTCATCGTCGTCACCACCACCATCACAATCAACAAAACCAACACCATAACCACAACAATCAGAACCATCACAACCATCACCATCGTCAACACCACCATCATGGTGAACACGATACGCATCACGATCATAACCACCGCCACCAGCACAACCAACGCCACAAGTATCATCATCAGCAGCAGCATAACACAAATCATCATCATCATCATACTCATCATCATCATCAGCAGCATCATGACCACCAACACCACCACGATCATCATCATCACCATATATTCATCATCATCACCAGCATCATCAGCAGCATAACACAAATCATCATCATCCTCAAACTGATCATCATGAGCAGCAGCATCATGACCACCACCACCACCACGACCATCATCAACATCATCTTCATGATCATCACCATCATCATCAGCATCCGTATCATCATTATCATGATTAATATTTTTGTTCTCATTACCATCACAGTCACCATCACCATCATCATTACCATCACCACCACCATCACCACCATCACCACCATCATCGTCATCATCCCACCTGTCCCTCCCCCACCCCTCCCCCTCACTCTGCTTGAGAAGCATCTGTCAGCCAACGCCCTTGCGAATGGAGATTTCGCACGCGCTCAGGCGTTCGCAACACACATGGTGTGCGAAGTTCTCAAATTCGGTTGGCCAATGCACTCGGTGTGAAATGTGCTCCGATCGGTGCCGAGACGACACCGCAGCGAGTTTCTCTCGGCATGTCGACACGTGGGGAAAGGTCTCAGCACAATTGTTAAGGGCGTACCGCTTGCAGGCAACGTGGCGCACGACAGACACAGCCCCGTACCTCCCTCCTACCTGACCCACGCCTTCATCGCCAATACGTTCACATCCATCTTCCGAGCGACCCGGGCGAACATGTAGCCATAGCCATTTGGTTTTTGCGTCTGCGTTTTTTCATATCAGCCGCGCACTCCTGCGTGCACGTCTCGCTAGCATGTTCTATCGCGGTCGCCACCGCGGCTGAGGCAAAGGCTATGGGAAGAGCAAGAGCAACTACTACCAGAACGACCGAGAAGCCGCCGGCTCCGACAGGATGAATAATTTTCTTTTCTCGGAGCTGGAGTCGGAGAGAGCAGCCAATGCATTTTCCCATGAACGTGAGGAGGCACAGGCAGCAGCAGAGCAACAGGAGAGCATGATTGCTGGGATAGCAAAGAACCACCAAAGCCGTGACAAAGATGGTTTCCGCAGCGGCAGCAGCAAGCATGAGAAGAAAGAGAAAAAATAATCCAGGGCAAGGGCAAGGTCAAAGAAGTTCGGCTTCACTAAGGCCAGCCTCCGTGCCGTGCAGAACTGTGACAGTTCGACCTCTGATGGATCCATGCCCTCGAGCGCCACATCCTCGTCCGACAAGGATGGATCCCACAGCATGCGCTTATGGCCAATATTGCAAGGTCCATGAAGCAAGCATGGAAGCGCCAAAAGAAGGAGAAGGAGATCGACGAAGCAAGGCGCTTCCGGAAGAAGCATGGTCTTTCGAGCGATGACGGCCCGAGCTCGGCCGCCGGACTGGCCCAAGCGAACCCCAAGAAAAAACTGAAGCTGCCCGAGGCCAAGGACACCGACACCGAAAAGCACATGGTCTGCCAGGAGGTGCTCGATGCCC